CGAGGTTGTTCGCACCTCTTGGCTCGGCCCGCCGCCAAGGTGAGCAATGGTGTTCCTCCTCCTCCCTCTCCTGCTATAAGAACCCCATTTCGGGGATATCTTAGGGCTGGCCGAAATCTTTGGAGAGGGGGAAGTGCTGCCAAAATCTCCTCTAACTTCATTCTCACTTGTTCTTTTCATTCTTTTGTGCTTGGAGCTGAGGAAGTGTGGGTGGCTGTTTATGTGAGGCTTTTAAGAAAGATTTCTGTGGGAGTACTTTTCTTGAACTTGTTTTACAGTGCTTTGCTTTAAATCTGCTGAAGTGAGGTATTCTTCTTCCCTCTTTTATTCTTGCAATATTTCGGATGGCATAAAAAAAAAAAAGAATATATATATATATATTTCCTATCTCATGTAGAAGCAAGATTTCGGGCTTGGTTTGGCTCTTTAAAGTTAGATCTTTATTGAAAAATTCTCTCTATTTAATTGGCTCATTTGATGGGCTCGGTTTGGATTTTTTTTTTGAAATCATATTAAATGTTGGAAATCACATTTGAGGCTTATGTTTTGCTCCTTTTGCCTCCTTTTGTTGAAATAAATGCTGGAAGTTTATTTGAAATCATGGAAATCCCATTTGAAGCTTATGTTATTGCTCATTTTGCTCCCTTTTGTTGAAATAAATGCTGGAAGTTTATTTGAAATCATGGAAATCCCATTTGAAGCTTATGTTATTGCTCATTTTGCTGCCCCTGGTTGAATTATGTGCTGGAGGGATTTATTTGTTATTTGCAAAGGGTGGAAGGTTTTAGTGCTTTGCTCATAAAATCTGAAAGCATTGTTACTCTATTTGCAAAGGTTGGAAGCCTTGATATGCTTATGTCTTGCAAAATCTGAAATGTGAGGTGGCCTGTTTGCAAAATCTGAAACCTTGGATTGCTAATTTGCAAAATCTGAAATGTGAGGTGGCCTGTTTGCAAAATCTGAAACTTTGGATGGCTAATTTGCAAAAATCTGAAACTTTGGGTGGCTAATTTGTGAAAATCTGAAATTGTTGGGTGGCATATTTGTCAAAATCTGAAAACCTCGGTGTTTTATTTTTGCAAAATCTGAAATGTTTTATGTGCAATTGGCAAAATTTGGAAAGTTACAAGCATGTCCCTTTATTCTTCTGCATTTACATATCTAACATCTAAACTTTCATTCATTCATGTATGCTAGCCCTTATGTGATAAAGTTGGTGATAAACCTATAAATGCATAGGAATTTAAATGCCAAGTATCTAAATTTATACTTGAGAATGAGGAATCATAAAGGCATAGAATTGCTGTGTTTAAATGCATTTAATTTCCTTTCATATAACGATGAGATGGTGTGTGCTGTATGCTTGAATCCAGGAAATACTTATACCTATGCAATACTTGAGTCAAATGTGCACACATTTAGGATTCTTGAAAGGCAAGTTTGAGTCATGATTTTTGGTGATTTATGAATTGTTATCCTATATTTTATGAAATAAAGAAGGCTTTTAAAATTCCATCTTGGGTTTGGAGATCCATAAAAAAAAAAAGCGCTACGAGGAAAGGATATCCTTCTTGGGATTGATCCGATCATTTTTTTTTAACGAATTTAAATGTTTTAGACCGAAACATTTGCGAGTTTTATTGATTAATTTGGTTTTAAAAATGAATCGGTCTCATTTTCGTTTGTTTAATTTTTTTCAACGGTCAAGTTAAAAATGGGGATTTCCGATTTAATTATATTCAGAAATGACTTATAATCTCAAGGGAAATAGGAAAAAAAAGAGAGAATGAGGGAAAATTGAAACTTAAATTTGAATTTTTAGGATGATACAATCTAAAGAGGAGGTAGGATAGCGTAATCCACCTTTTTTTTTTTCTTTACATAAAAAGAAACAAATTGTAAATTGGAAGATTAGTTGGAATCTGAAGAAATGAAAATTTAGATAACGACTGAGATATTAGTGGACTTACTCTTAGATCCCTTAAGCTTTGAATTGATTTAAGATCCAATTCCTTTAATTAGGATTGAAGCACCACTCACAACTCATTTGCCAAAACTATGAGTTTACCCCTAGGTTTTAGGAGTCTGGTAGCGAGCTAAATTGGATCTATAGATGTTTGAGGGTTAGTGGAAAGGCACTTAATTGAGATTAGACACCTTAGGACACTTCAAGTTTAATCTAAAGTGTAGTCATCCTAGATCTTAAGAGCATAGCTTAGGAGATAGTTTACCATCCTAATTTTTTTTAAATGACCCTAAGAAATCCAAACATCTAACCTCAGATTAGAAGATAGATGGGACACTAGGCACGAGGTTGCACTAGATTGTGGTTCATGACTGATTTAATTAAATCAAATAATGAAATTCTTACCTTAACTTGACCAAAACTGAAACCCAATGCTCCGGGATTTGAGTTTGTCATATATTCAAATCCTCCTGGCAATTGGGGACATCCCAATATCACATATAAATTTCTCATTCTTGGTCCTTTATATGTGGTATGGTTCATTTTATTTATTTGTCTTTTCTCTGCAATTTACTTGTTTCTATTAAGCCTCTTTCAGGTCTTACCTCCCTCTTTACACAGCAGATAATAGCTAAATTTAAAGGAGCGATGAATCTCTCAGGTGTACAGGTTTAATTTACGTTACAGCACTTTATTTTAAAAGCATGTTATACTATTTTCATAGCCTATTATACTGCTTCCCTAACATGTTTTGTTCTTCTTTAAGCATGTTATATTGTCTTTTCCTCTTTACTATACAGTGCCCTCTTACTTTTATTTCACACTGCATGCTTAGTTACTCTGATACACTATGCCTTAGTTTAGGATAATCTAGTGGTTAGGAACTTGTTCAAAACTAAAACTAAGCCAGGAGGTGCTACTACGAAGAGACTCGGAGCAAACATCGTGGGCAGCGCAACGAGGAGTAATTTCCAAGTAGATCTGCAGCAACGAAACATTTTCACATCACCTGCACATTTTCTTTAGTTTAAATAACCCGTAGGATCACTTCTTTAGGCCTTTTGCACAACTCTGTGGTGTAATTATAAGTCCTAACGTTTTAAGATTCCGAGGTTACCGTTCGGTACGGTATAAATCCTCCTGTCTTTTAGGCTATTTGCACAGTCTGACGTCGTGCAAATATAAGTCCTAAATCTTAAATAATTTGCAGGATTGAAACATCAAATAATTATCTCTTCAAAGACATAAAGCCAAACAATAGGATAGTAAACAATAGGATAGTTAGGACATCTCGGGGTTTCTCCTGGATCTGTGATGTCCCCTACTTTTCTTTCATTTGAATTCCTTAAATAATTGTTCATATTTTGAGCCATTCCCATTTGATTTTCCCATGTCCAATCGTGAAAACCTAAACTTTGAAATCTTGAAAACAAAACCACCTGATCTTAATCGAGAGTTTTCTTAAGTGATTTCGATCATTTAAGATGTAATTAACTATAGGGGCTTGCCTCTATAGGGAACCAGGAACCCAGATAAAATAAACCCTATCTAATTTTTTATGTTAGATAGGGGAACTTGTTGGCCTTTTTATAAAAATATTTCACAGACCAAACGGATGTCACAAATTCTTTAGTCTGGGTGATTGAATCCCTATTACAAGTGATACATTTATGTCTTTGGGATAAGTGTATTACCTGTAGTATCGTATTCACTCGTCTAAACTATTTAAAATATGAGACCCGTTTGGTCTCACCTATTTTAAATTAAAATGTTACTTCTTAAAAAAAAAAAGTTATATTTATATTTAAATTATTTTTTTTCAAAATCACAAAATCATCACCTTTTCAAACTACGAAAATTAAGCTGAACGATAAAACGGCCGACACATCCACATTTGAGATCCAACCTTCCTGTGCATTTTGATTCTGCAGTTTTGAATAACATCACCCATGTGGAGGAAAATATAGCACAAACTGAATATCTTCTAAAAATGTTGAATGAAAATGTCTCATCAGACTATTCATCATCAACCAGTTCGGCAGCTACTTCCCACTGTTGTTAAGACAGTTATTCCTCAGATCATATATACTACGAATTTGGTTGTAGCAGATGCCAACCGATGTGTTTTGGAACCACCTATTGCGAGGGAAGTGGGTAATCAAGCCCTAGAGGAGCGTCATGATTAAGGTGTGCTGCAGGCTGAGACTGCTCAGCAATTTACGGATCAACATACCCCTCAGGGTAAGCTCTCCATCAAAGATCCACAAATAGATCAGATGGGACAATTACTGGCAGATGAATGACAGGTTTACAAATCTAGGAAGAAGAAAAAATGAATGTTAGAACTCAAAAATTTTCAGAATTTAGGTCCTAACAGTGAAGAAGAGGTCTCTCCTAAATGGTTGCTAGTTAGAGTGGTGTAACCTACCACAGATTTCACCCGAATTGATTTCCCCTCACATAATGGTTTATCAACTACAGTTTATCGAGTACGAGAGGGAAGAAGAAGGTTTGAAACTTAAGGGCTCAAGAGTTACATTGCATGAACTTACATCTATATGCAACTCGAGCTCAGGATGTGCCGAAAGATGAAGTATATTTATTTTATCAAGACGTGTTGTGGAATGACAACACCTACACGATCAACCTACCAGGGTACTACAATATCTTTGCTACCTTCAACGTTGTGACTTGACTCCGTGCAAAGAGAAGCCATAACCTTCAATGAATGTAGTATAAGTACCCCCAACCTCGTGAGACTGATGCGGAGGTTGGGGCTAAACTAGCCCCAATCAGTCCAACAAGAAGCTGCCCATTCAGTAGGAAGCTGAGATGGCTGAACCCTGCTTAGGGTTTGGAGTGTTGCCGCCCAAGGGGAGGGTTCCCCCTCCTAGTTATCTTTTAGGTTTGAGTCCAGCTTGATGTCGACGATTGTTTTTACCCTCCTAGGGTTGTATCCGATGGCAATGTGCTTCGGCTATAACTTGTGACCTCCAAGAATTTTAGTGTTGCTCCAGCTGTAACTCGATCCTATGGAAATATTTATCCTTCTCCAACCCTTCCGCAACATTTGCAACGATCCCCTCATTGGTGCCGTCCTAGGACAACTCTCCCTCTACTGTCCAGTGGCACCAACCACCATCTACCTGCTTCCTCTGACACCGAACCTCCCCACCTATTGTTCTCTTGTTGCTGACCCTTCCAACCTACTGTTTCCTAGCTACTGAACCCTCCTAGTCTGCTATCTTCTTGCAGCCACCCCTCCAACATGTTATTCCCCTTGCTGGCAACCCCTCATACCTGCGGACCTTTGTCTCCCAGCCCTCCATCTGTTGTCCTTTGTCACCAAATCACCCCAACCACCTTCCATTTTCCAACTATAGCCCCTTAGGTCAACCTTCTGTCTACCTCGAGTAATAATATTTGCTTTTTGTTGTGGTTTGGGATAGCTCCGATATCACAAAGAGACGGAATAAAATATTTTTTATTTATGTCCTTTGTTGAGAGAGCAGATGGTAGAATTCATCACAAATGAAAATAAACGGAATGAATCAGAAAGAAGACAAATGTTGGCATGCTGAAGAGACCCTGTATGATGCACAAGCTTTAAAGGACTCAAATAGGCACAAAAGAAAACAATGGATTGGACACAATAAATAAAAAACAGCATTTTCAAAGTATAATTTGTTGTGCAACATTTATGTATGTTCAAGCATAATTTCACCCATATCATAAACTGCTGAAGTTATATGAAAAAAGCGGCAATTTATTGAATTGAATAGATGGAAAAGCAGTCCTTACCTGAAGACACACAAGTTGTCCAAAAAAAAAAAAAAGCAACAAAAGAAAAACATGAAAACCCAGGATCAACAGAAACAAATGTGAAGGAGGCTGTGAAATGAGATGTTTTATGCCAAAAATGAAAATTAAAAAACATCTAAAATGGAAGGCAGTTAGTTGCAATGACTTTCGCAATCTTTATCAAATATAACTAACTGTTCATAAGGTAAGGAAGAATCAGAAAAATTTTTCTGAAACCCTGTATGATGCACAAGCTTAGATGATACAGTTGTTAAGTATAAGGTGCCATAAATAACAAGATGAAGCATACCCTCAGCTTGAACCAGTTTAAAAGCCCAGGCTTTCTGCCCTTTTTCTCTTCCTTTGATGAATAATCTGTCTCTCCATATCCTTCAAGCGAACCAAAAAAGTCACTATTTTCTTGATCTAATATCATATCACGTCTTCTAAATGGAAGATATGAAAGCTGCATGATAACAATAGTTATTGTCAAAACAAGCAACAGAAAAAATTAGAATGCGTTGACTGTTATGAATTGAAGTTCAATTGAGACATTTTTTTAATGGAAAATCGCTCAACCTCCTCTTCTCCAAAGGAATGCCTTCTTCTAGGAACTGGACGCTGATGAAACCTTGGAGAATGCGTTGTTTTCGTTGAAACCAAAATTAGTTTCGTTAATCTCTGAATCCTTCCAAGCAGAGCAGCTTTAGCCTCTTCTTCTTGTTCAAGCCTAGATTGCATCTTCACGTGACCATCTTCAAGCTTCCAAAAAGTTATAATAATCACATTAGATTTGATGTCCATAAAATGGCGAGTGATATTACTCATTAGACCAAGAGTTTTTTTATATCATACGAAGGAACATCTCAGATTAGACAAATTTAAGCAAGGCATATTTACTAAAAAAGACAAATCTCAAAAGAAATGGGCAGAGCAAATTTCTTAAAAACTTCTCGCTAATCTTATGACCACCACCTTACTTAGCTAGAAATACACCAAACAGCCTCTATCGGGTTATGAACTCAATTATTTATTTAAATTCATTATCATAAAGATTTCTCATAAGACTTTTTATCCATTTTACCAATTATTTTTTCTTCACGATGCTGGGATCCTTTTCCTATTTAACACATATGGCTATTTTTTACTAAAATATCTTCTAAACTAATCAATCATAAAACTTTCACTATGGCATATGTACCAAAAGAAGTTCCTTTAGTATTTCTATTTTGTATGTCCATATTTTGTTTCAAATTCTAAATACTTACAAAAGCAATAACTTAATCCTACGAGCCAAGCAATTTTTAACGCCTCCACCACATGCTAGCAGTAAAGGCCAATTTTACATTTTAAATAATAAAAAAATGAATAGGAACCGGACTGTTCATCAGAACTGATTAATTGCCATATTTCTACTTTATGAGAGAGAAAATGGAGGGGCAGAAAAAGGATATAGCGATGGGAGAGAGTAGTAGGAAAGAAAAGACATAAAAAGGGACTGATAGTTGAAAGACAAGGAACACCATAAAGGAGGTAAGTACATGCTCTTGTGACATGAGTGTCGAGAAGAACACAAAAATGATGACTAATTGCATGCACGGATTCTACTGATTGTGTGTGGTGCTAGGGTTAGAGCCGACCTCAACCATAGGGTTTCTACTCCTTTGCTCTAGACATCTTAAGATACAATAAACTATAGATAAGATGAAAGTTATGATTCTATCAATATATATTGTTTTAATTGTGAGCAATATTTATTATCATAACTGATTCCAGAATACAACAACAACAACAACAAAACCTTAATCCCACTACGTGGGGTCGGCTATATGAATCCTTTTTCTCCATTGCGTCCTATTTAGTGTCATATTTTCATTTAGTTCTAATAAATTAAGATCATTTTTTATACAATAAGCCCAAGTCTTCCTAGTTCTATCTCTGTCTTTCATAACATAAGTCGAATCTAGAACATCTACTCTCCTAATCGGATCATCAGATTGTCGACGCTTAATGTGAACAAACCATCTAAGATGACTTTCTCTAATTTTGTCCGTCACAGGAGCTACACCAACCCTATCACAGATATATTCATTTCGCATTTTGTCTCTAAGTGTGAAGCCACTCATCCACCTAATCATTCTCATCTCGACAACACTTAACTTAGTATTATGCTTCTCTTTTAAAGGTCAACATTCAGTGCCTAGGTCTCACGTAGGTCTCACCACCGTCTTATAAAATTTTCCTTCGTCCAAGCGGTACTTTTCTATCACAAAACAGGCCCGAAACATTCCTCCACTTCAACCAACCAACTTGGATTCTACTATTAACATCCTTATCTACATGAACATCGCTTTGAACAACAGACCCGAGATATCTAAATCGTTCACACCTTTTAATAATTTGATCACCCAAAGTTACAATTTTGTCACTAGAGCTACCACTACTAAAATTATATTCCATATATTTAATTTTAGTTCTATTCAAATGAAGGCCTTTAGACTCCAATGTAGACCTCCATAATTCAAGTTTTTTCTGGGCTTTTTCTCTCATCTTATCCACGATAAGGATATCATCGGCAAAAAGAATACACCAAGGTACATCCTCCTGTAAATGTCCAGTAAGGCCATCCATAACTAAAGCAAAAAGATATGAGCTTAAAGCCGATCCCTGATATAATTCAATAGAAATAGGAAAATATTTGGTCAATCCTCCTTCAATTTGAACACAAGTAAGAGCTCTAGTATACATATCTTTAATGACTTCAATATAAGTCATACCAACACATTTCTTCTCAAGAAATCTCCAAAAGTTATCTCCTGGAACCTTATCCAAAATTATAAATATAATTTATGATTTCCTTAAAAGTTTAAAATAATGATCAACATGTATACTATTTCTTTTTTTAGTTACTATATTTTACAAATATAATTGAGCAACTATGTCATGTTGATAACTCATCTTTTAATTTAATTAATAATTTAAAACAAGATATGGAGAACTAAATGAGTGGGAGGAGAAAATCTTTATATCGTACATATGAATCTATCAAAGAATGGTATAATCATTTTTAGAATCTTCATATATTTGGTTCATAATATATTTTAATGATTAGTGCCTCTTTCATTAAATTGGGCAGTAATATTTTGCTAAAATTTATAAACATTTGTTTTGATAGTAACCCTGAAGTTAGTGGTTGTACTTTAAACTCCGTCAGATCGATTATTCATGCCTCGATTATTCATGCCTTATTATTTTCAAACTCCCAAGTTGAGACGCAACACTAGGTATGTGGCCATAACTTAAGAGAACATAATTTGCCTAGTACGTTAGATGGGTTGGATATTACCATCAAGAGAAAGATTCCCTCAAACTAAGAAAAAAAAAAGAACATCGTTCCTTGCACTTTATATTTTGGCAAGTTGTTGATATAAAATCTGGGCTGCAAATCTAAGTTCTCTTTATTGTTTATACCCACCAAATACCTATTCTACAATTAAGTTTGATAGAAGTAATAATTAAGCTCAGATTTAAGATAATGCTTTCACCTTTGTTCTCTATTAGTAATTCTGCAAATAATGCCACAGCATGAGAATTAAGGTCTGCAAGAATACTCATATTATTATTACGTTGAAACTTTCTTTAGATTAATATCATCGTCAAGCATAAATCTTTCAATTGAAATAACACAGGATTTTTCTCACTTCAAAAAACTAGAATAACGCCTTTTGTTGTTAAAACTCCCAACTCTATCAATGGTAACTAATACTATCAGTAAGACTAGCGTCTGTTGTCTATTTTCTCAGCATCTTGCATGTCTGGAGAGCTGGTAAGAATAAATCATATGAGGTTAGACAATAACAATATTTTTTCAAATTTAATAATTTCTTCAATATTCCATTTGAGTATAAAGCATATATCTTTGATATGGTAACAAACAATCCCACATTCAACAAATGAATTTCTTATTTTATCCTCAATAAAATTTTAAACCATCATCTGCTTTTATCTTTAGAAAAAACAAGCCCCTCGCTTAACCTATAGAATTTATGGCTCTATCTTCATGATTGACTCGTATGAAATGAAATAGCAGCACCATCAAGATCCCACTGTTTGGCTTTTTAGTATACATGAGATTTTATATTTTTATACTAATATAATTAAGTACATAGTAGACCAGATAGAAAGAATGACGCGGGGCTTTGGGAGGACCGGCCTAGGGTTCGCTCTAGCTTGGCTGGACCGGCCAGTCCTCAAGGGATGAAGGCAGTCGGCCCCATTTTCCTTCTCTTCCATCATTTTCCTTTCTTTCTCTCCTAGCAAGTTATTATAAGCCCCTTCTAAATCTGAAATCTGAGATATTTACTTTCTAATTCCGAATTTCTATTATTTTTATTAGTCTTTGCTTACAATAAATTCTTCCTACGTTGCCTAAATTATGAATTCTTATTATTTTTATTCTCTTCCTTATTTTAAACAATGCCTTAAAATAAATTCTAGCCCTCATTATAAATAGGTGGTGTTATGCTAAGAGTTTGTTTTAGTATTTGTTGTGCTTGCTTTCAGAAAATCTGTGTGGAGACTATTCCCCCTTTGTAGGCTGTATCCAAGGAGATGGTGGTGCTCCGGCTGCATCCTACTCCAAGATGGTGATGTATCTCCCCTTGTCGTCTTCCCTAACTCTTCTCTTCCACTCCTCATAGCCGCTGGCCTTGCTGTCCAACCTCCCCGACTGCCAACTGTACTCCACCGATCCACCTACAACAGTTTCCCCTTGTTGTCCCCCATCCCCATCCCCATCCCCAGACTTGTATTGCATTCCCTTACAGCCTTCTTGGCTGTCCAACCCCTCCATCCTTCCCAGCACTCCCAATCGACTGCTCCTCACCCCCATTCCCGCTGTCATTGTTGTCCAGCACCTTCCAACCACCAATCCGCCTGCCACCATCCACCTACGACCTTCCATACTTGTTGTCCTTGCAATTTTGCACCTTCCCCTCGCTGCCACGACCGTTGCCAACTATTCCGAACAACCTAGCCAACCTCCACCGCCCTTAGAATTCACCTTAAAGTCCTCGGTATTATTTGGTATCAGAGCTAGTCCAACCCTAGTCTCATCCTAAGGTTTCGTAGTCATGCCACCAACAACATACATGCTCGCGCCTTCCCGAGGAGATGCGGTTAGAGATCTACCGACTTCGAAGGTGGATTACATATATAGAAGATGAAATCCAATGGGATGCTACCCTCGACCGTGATCCAAAAGGTCGAAGGGGGAAACAGAAAGATAAGAAAATAAAGCGGGAAACATGACTCCAATTTCTACCAACTACAGCCAAAAATTGTTGACCCTAGCTTCTGAACTGGATAGACCGCAACACCAAGCGATAACGCCTGACAACTATTCAGTTAAACCAATCTTCAAGTCTGTCACAGCCAAAAAATGTGGCAAGTGGCACGAGTTCGAACATGTTGAAGTAGAATATACACAACCACAGGAGTGATCAACTTTACGGAGCAGGGCGTCATTAAATAGTTGGGTAAATACACAAAAGACATTGCAGACATTAAGGACATAAACAAAGAGGACCAGCTTCCAGTTCAAGAGATAAACGGGGATACTAAAAAATATGTTGTCTTCAAAAAGGATCCACAATTGTCAGCCAACAAGGAAGAAATTCCACCAATTCCAGTTGACCCGAGATAGACTCATAATTGTCGGCCAACAAGGAAGAAATGCCACTAATTCCAGTTGACCCCGAGATAGAGACTCCAGCAGAGGTAACAGTAGCCAGTCGGAAAGGTAGTGAACTTGACGTAATGGCCATCCACGCAGAGTATGAAGTGGTGGTACCTCGAGCTACTATTTCACAGGTGGTGAGAGGAACATTAGCTCCGAACTGACTTGGGATGTCCAAAAAGGGATCACAGATGCAAGGCCATCACAGATCAGAGCATTGCAAATTTTTCAGATGTATAAACCATTTGTTGAGTTGCCCTTACGAAGGAAGACCCAACATGCCAAAAGTAGGGTCATTTTGAGCCATATCGAGAGTATCACATGGAGTTATTCAGAAGTTATATCATGTTCTGCACGATGCCCTTCATCAGATGTCCGACAGGAGAGATGAACCCCGGCTTTGTAATGGGCCCAAGGAGTTTGATAGGTACGGAAATTCTTCAATGGGATCCAGGTCCTATCAGTAACGAAGAGGTCTCTCTTAAGTATGTGTTGTTGAGAGGGGGGTGCACGCAACCACAAATTTAACCCATGAATTGAACCATCTCCCATACCAGTTCCTCAATTGCACTCAGCCAAATACAAGGAGTGGATGAAGCAGGTTACTCCTGGAATGACTCGATAATTGTATTCGTCTTCCTATAGTTCCAGCTCAGAGCATGCCTAAGGAGGACGGATACCTATTCTATCAAAGTGTGCTTTGGAACGACAACGTCTAGAAAATCGACCTGTTTGGGGGCTAAAATTTCTAATTCACACTCAACGACGCCGACCTGACATAGCACTACAAGGAGCCTGAAGCTTCAAAAAATGAGGTCGAAGCTCCCCCAAACCACAGGAGAATGGTGCGAGGCTTTGGGGAGAACCGACCTAGGGTTCCGTCTAGTTTCGCCAGACCGACCAGTCCTCAAGGGGGGAGGGTTGCTAACCCCCCTTTCCTTCTCTTCCTCCCCTTTCACTTTCTTCCTAAGACCTTCCTATTATAAGCCCATTCCAAATCTAAAATCTGATTATTTTAATTGAAATCTGATTATTTTTTATTGAAATCTAAAATTTGAAATCTTTCCATTCCAATTCTGAATTTCTATTATTTTTATTAGCCTTTGCCTATTCTGAATTCTTCCTATATAAATATTGGCTAAATTATGAATTTTTATTATAATAGAAATTCAAAATTCATAACTAGAGTGATATACTTTACCGAGCAGGGCGCCATTGAAAAGTTGGGTAAAAACACCGCAGACACTGCAGATGATGAGGACATAAGCGAGGAGGATCAACTTCCAGTTGAAGAGATATTGACGATCTGGAAAAAGATGTTCTCTTCAAAAAAGACCCACAATTGTCATCCAACAAGGAAGAGATGCCACCAATTCTAGTTGACCTTGAGATATAGACTCCAACTAAGGTAACAGTAGCCGTTCAGAAAGGTAGTGACCTTGACGTAATGGACATTCATGCAAATTATGAGCTGATGGTATCACAAGCTACTGTTTCATAGGCTGTGAGAAGAACATCAATCGAACTGACTAGGGATGTCCAAAAAGGGCACGAGTTTAAGAAGTCAACCATAGGTACAGGGCCATCATTAATCAGAGCATTGCAAAATTTTCATATGTATAGACCGCCTCCTGAATTACCCTTACGGAGGAAGACCAACATGCCAGAAGTGGGGTCATTTTGTGCCATGTTGAAAATATCACGTGGAGTTATTCAAAAGCTATTTCCTGTTTTGCATGGTACCCCTAGTCTGATGTATAGACAGGAGAGATGAACCCCAGCTTTGTAATAGGCTAGATGTCCAAACAGGAGAGATGAACCCCAACTTTGTAATGGGCCCAAGGAGTTTGATGCGAACAACAATTTTTCGATGGGATTCAGGTCCTATCAATAACAAAGAGCCCTCTAATAAATGGCTGTTGGTGAGAGGGGTGCAACCTGCCACAAATATCACCCCCGAATTGATCCCTCCTCCCATACATGTTCCTCAGCTGCACTCAACCGATTACAAGGAGTGAAAGAAGCGGGTAACCCCCGGAATGGCTTGATACATATGCCATGAGAATACTGAACTTTCTACAGTTCCAGATCAGGGCGTGTCAAAGATGCACGGATACCTATTTTATCAAAATGTGCTTTGGAACGACAACGCCTAGAAGATCGACCTGTTAGAAGGCTACAATATCACAACCACCCTCAACGTCACCGACCTGACACAGTACTACGAGAAGTCTGAAGCTTCGACAAATGAAGTGAAAGGTCTCCAAACCCCGGGAGACTAGGGTGGGGCAATGGGGAGGACAGGCCTAGGATTCGATCCAAGTAGGCTGGAGTGGCAGGTCCTTAGGGGGGAGGGTTGCCAACCCCCCTTTCTTTCCTTCCTAGTACATTCCTATTATAAACCCCTTCCAAATCTGAAATCTGATTATTTTATTGAAATCTCAAACCTAAAATCTTTCCTTTCCTATTTTGAATTTCTATTATTTTTATTATTCTTTGCATATTTTGAATTTTTCCTATTATAAACATTGTCTAAATTTTGAATTCTTAAAATAGAAATTCATAATTCACAACTAGGGGAGTGATCTATTTTACTGAGCAGAACGTCATTGAAAAATTGACACGCAAACACTGATAAAGGTGATGACATAAATGAGGAGGACCACCTTCCAGTTGAAGAGATAAATGACAATCCAGAAAAAGATGTCTTCAAAGAGGATCCATAATTGTCAGCCAACAAGGAGAGAAGCCACCAATTCTAATTTACCCCTAGATGGAAACTCCAGCCAAGGTAACAGTAGCCCTTCGGAAAGGTAGTGAGGTTGACGTAATGGGCATTCATGTAGAGTACAAAGTGGTGGTACCTCGAGCTATTGTTTCACAGACGGTGAAAGGAACAACAGCCGAACTGACTTGGGATGTCCAAAAAGGGCATGAGTTTGAGAAGCCAACCATAGATTCATGGTCATCACAAATCAGAGAATTCCAAAATTTTCAGATGTATAGACCCGAGTTACCCTCATGGAGGAAGACACAACATGCCAGAAATGTGTTCATTTTGTGTCATGTCAAAAATATCACGCTGAATTATTTCTTATTCCACATGACAACCCTCCTCAGATGTCCAGATAAGAGAGATCAACCCCGACTTTATAATGGGCCTAAGGAGTTTGATGGGGACGAAAATTCTTCAATGGGGTCCAAGTCCTATCAGTAATAAAGAGGACTCTCCTAAGTGGGTGTTAGTGAGAGGGGTACAACCTGCCAAAAATTTCACCCCAAATTTATCCCTCTTTCCATACCAGCTCCTCAACTACACTCAGTCGATTATGAGTGAAAGATGCAGGTTACCTCTGGAATGGCTCGATGCTTGTGCCGTGAGAATGCTTGCCTTCCTACAGTTCCAGCTCAGGGTGTGCCAAAGGTGGATGGATACGTATTCTACCAAAATCTGCTTTGGAACGACAACACCTAGAAGATCGACCTGCCAGAGGGGCTACGATGTCTCAGTCATGCTCAGCTTCACCGACCTGACGCAGTACAACGAAGAGCCTGAAGCTTCGACAAATACGGTCGAAGCCTCCCAACCCTGGAGATGTGGGATTTCAGGAAGGACCGACCTAGGGTTCGATCGAGCTTCGTGGGACCGGCCGGGCCTCAAGGGAGGAGGGTTGCTGACGCTCTGTTTCCTTCTTTTTCTTTCCTTTCCTTTCCTTTCTTTCCTCGCTAGCACTTACCTATTATAAGCCATTTCCAAATCTGAAATCTTTCGTTTTCAATTCTAAATTTATATTATTTTCATTAGTCTTTGCCTATTTTGAATTCTTCCAATTATAAAAATAGCCTAAATTATGAATTATTATTATTTTTATTCTCTTCCTTATTTTAAAACATTTTTTAAAATAAATTCTAGTCCTCGTTATAAATAGGTGGTGTTATGATTAGAGTTTTCTTTAGTTTTTGTTGTGTTTGCTTTAAAAAATCTCATGTGGAGTCTTTTCCCCTTTGTGGCTTGTATCTGAAGAGATGATGGTGCTCCGACTGTATCCTACTCCAAGGTGGTGATGTATCTCCCCTTGTCGTCTTTCGTAACCCTTCTCCACTCCTCATAGTCGCCGGCCTTGCGGTCGAGCCTCCTAGCCACCATTTGCACTCCGCCGATCCTCTTACAATAGTTTCCCCTTGTTGTCCCACCATTCCAGTACTATGTTCCCTTACAGTCTTCTTGGTTGTCCAGCGTCCAGGCCCTCCTCCATCCTTTCCAGCACTCCCAATCGATTGATTCTCACCAGCACTCCCGCTGTCCTTGCTATCCAGCACCTTCAAGCCACCAATGCGCCCGTCACTGGTGACCTACGACACTCCATACTTGTTGTCCTCGCAATTTTGCACCTTTCCCTCACTGCCATCAGCACTCCCTTGCTGCCACCACCCTTGCCAACCATCCCGATCAACCCAGCCGACCTCCATTGCCCTCCAGTACACCTTAAAGTCTCCGAGATCAAAGAAAGTTCTTGAAATCTTTTGAGTAGAGAAATAGAAACGATCACCCTCGAACTATCCCTGCAAAAGTTTATATTAGTCTCTTTCAAAGAGCAAATAGAAGGAAATATCTCTGAGAATATGTTTGAATGAAGTCAAAATAAATATCTCTGAGAATATCTAAGAAGTTGAAGTTTGAGATAACTCCCCTCAAGGCACATTTTTTTATCAGAAATGCTAACAATAACATATCCAAAGGTTCACCTCAAGGCCCACCAATCAGTTCAAAGAGATAATCTTATTATAAGAAAATAAGAACCCCAATGTACATTTAAAATATGAGAATAACAAGATAGTGAACCTCGTACAGTAGCATCAAAAACTTATAGTAGTTACACAATAATGACTTGTGCTGTACCTTTTGCTTTAGAAGAACAATGTCATCCCCTCCATTATCTTTTAGAACATTAACAGATAACATGCCCTTTTTCAATTGTTCTAGTTCTTCCTTCAGGCAACGTATCTCAACTTGATATTTCTTTATCAATGATTTTTCATCAATAATCTGCATAACAAAGCCCCATTTACGTTGGGAAAGATTAAAATCATGAAAGATCGAGTTAATTGTGATTACTTTGAAGCAAATAATCAAAGAGTAGTACTAAACAAAAGTTCCAACTCTATGAAGGATTTCCCATAAATGCTCTGAGAAAATTACAATCAAGTAGAGAATATATACCTTGTTCTGAGATGCTAAAATCTCAATGCGTTTTGCACGATGAGCAAATTTCAATGTGTTATGTGTTTCTTCTGCATTGCTGGATGATGGAGTAACCGTGCATATAAGCTGCAAAGAAGAGATGCATGCCATAGTAAAATTAACTCCGTAAAAATGTGTCCAAAGAAAGCATATTTATCCTACTCACAGACACACGCCCTTGACCACTCAAAGATGATTGAAGCAGACGTGTCAACTTAGAGTCACGGTATGGAATATGACTAGCTCTTCCCTCTGTTAATTTTGATATAACCTAACCAAGTAAGATCACCATGAATTGCATCAAAAGTTTGACTCGGCAAACTCTAGTAAAAAGACAGATAAGAAAAATAATAGTGCAAGATAGCATTGTAACAGAGATATTGAAAGGAGTGGTCATGCCCTGTAGTTCTATCATTACTTCTAATCTGATTTATATTTTATAGAAAAAAAATGAAATAATAAAAGAAAACAAGGGAATATCATCATCACCTTAATTACCTTCACAGATTAGTACCAGCTATTTGGTTTTAATTCTAAATAAGAGTTTAAAAAATATAATATAAAATAAATATTAGGCAGCATGGGTGGGACATATTAGAGTTAAGAAAGCATAATTTACAAGCAATATAGTTGGAGTTGAGTTATAGGCTTCATGTACAGGCTACATATTATTATTATTGGCCTCCTAATGCAACAAAATCTCATTTACACAAACCAGTGACAAGATCACAAGGAGCATTGCATCAAAGTTGAAAATCAACATCATTGTCAGCATTATCAACATTACAAAACTAAAAGCAAAGAATATTTTATCAAATATGGCCAGCCACTCCTTGATGATTTTCCAACATGTGGTAAAATTCAAATGTCACTCAATAGTCACATTAGCATGTCCAACCCTTTCCACATTGTATAAGTAACATGTAATGATAATCAACACCACTCATCTTCCATATTATCTTGGCCAGCCACTCCACGGAAAAAACAAAAAATATGCAATCAATATCCTTTCTTAAAATGGCTTAGACGACCCTTTTATGAATACTTCAATGTATTTCATTTATAGTTATATATATA